GAGTGTACAGACCTTAAGCACGTTCAAAGCCTTAGCGCACTCTAGCCTCAGTTTGAGAATTGCCGCTCTTCCGCTGACATGGTTCCATCTAATGATTCTCTCATCCAGGTTGGATTATGTTAAAACACTATCACCAGCCTGAACTTGCATAATCGAGATAAGATAGTTTTTGTTTGCATATGACCTTGTTTTGCTGCCATCTTTTGAAACTGATCTGTCCACACTATCTGGAAAGGTTCGCAGCCGAGTGCGACATCGCCGGCATGCTTGTGAAAGCATCAAAATGAAATGTCTGGTGTTTGTCGTTCTCTTGTCCGTTGTTTGCTTCAGTAAACGGTGAAATGGTAGAGCAGGTGGAGAACTTCAATTACCTCAAGGTCGTGCTTACTGGTGGTGAAAAAGTTGAGGAGATTGACCGGAGGATCGGAGCAGCCAGTGGTGTTCTGCCTGAACTAGCGCGAACGTTGTGACTAAAGCGGAGGTGAGTCGGAAGACTAAACTCTTGGTGTTCAAGTCCGCATGTTTTATTACGGCCGTGAGTTGTGGACCGTGTCTGAAAGCTTCTATCCTGGGTACAAGTGACTGAAATGTAGTTTCTGAGGAGTCGCTGGCCTTACGCTTCTAGACATGGTCCAGAATACAAATTTCCGCAAGAGCCTTGGTGTACAGCCGCTGCTTCTTCAGATGAGAAGTCACAGTTACGATGATTTGGGCACATGTTGCGAATGCCTCCACAAAGGAAGACGAGGCAACTGCTGGTTGCAGTGCTGAACGGCAGAAAACTCATTGGATGACCAAAACAAACCTGTAGCAAGTGTACTGGTTTTCTTCTCGCAACTCTGATTTTCTTCTGCCTTAGTACAGGCACTGGCACAAAACTATAATCATTGAAAGCACTGCTTGATGCGTCTACGGTCCTTAAGGAAAAGTTTTCATGGAAGGTTAAGTGGTTAAATTCGGTGCCATTCAGATTGATTTAACGAACGGGCGTTGGTGTGAAAACGTGGATGCGTACGCAGTAGTGCAAGCATAAGACATCAGAAATTGACTTTGGCAGAACTTCTCGTCTGAAAGGTCTTTGACTCAGATGCAGCACGTCATGTATTCATTCGCGTTGGCAACCATGAATTAGCGGTATTGTTGAAGTCAAAATCTTTCTTTGTGCGTGAAATTAGTGGATGAATTAGCGTTTTAGAGCTCACCTATTTCTGTGGATATAATGTGGCACTTTGTCGCTTGTTCAGTCAGAAGAAAAGCTGGGCCGTAGTTCTCTGCCATGCGATGCCTCATTCCCCTGCGATTTCTACCATGATTGGTAGCATTATGCCGTGACATTCATTTCACCATTCGTCTAAATTACCTTGTAACTTTCAAGGGTTTTTCGAACAGTAGTGTCAAAAAGTGGACGTTTTCACGAGAAGTTCATTAGACGTGCGTATACACTATTTTTTGACCTTACTCCTGTTGATTATGCGAGTTTGTCATGCGAAATTTACGAAGTTATCGAATCTGTTGGCTAAAATTGGGTAAAGTGAGAGAGATGAAAAGTTCGACGTTAATTTACACAACTACTTCAGCAATCAGGGCCAGTTGGTGTGAACACATCATCTGAAAATGGATCAGCGTGTCATAATTTGACTTCCCAGAAAAAGCTTTCAAAACGTGGCATTTTTTTAGTGTCCATGAATGTCTTTTTGTCACACATTTGCACCTCATCATTTATTCAATGTATTCAATAAAAGAATGAAGGTAATGTCAAGTGCAGTCACATTGCGAGCACGACAGTAGATTACGGAGATCCAACATGCGAAAGGTTTTCTGTCCAGAAGATTGTCACAGTTAACAGGCGCGAATTTCTCGACCGGCCAAAGCAGTGCCTTCGTGGAAACAGCGGCCTTGAATTGCCCATGATTAAATAAAAACTTCTGGCTTTTGGTACAATTCTAACACATTGTGTTTCTGATACCGGTACAGGCGAATAAAACGTTGTATGAACCTCATTTGAATTTTCTCTAGTATCGAACTCTGCGTTCTAGACAATGGACAACGAAAAAAGTAGGAAGTAGGGACTCGCATGCTAGGGTTGAGTATGCTTGGTTCTGCTCACCTTAACCATGAAGACCAGTTACTAGGTATGGCAAGATCGGCTGAAA